GTTGTGGTAGAATGACATTTAAAACAAAAGTTTCTAATTTGATCATTAAGAATTATAGTCCTAAAATCGAACACATAAGATTGAATTAGAAATTTGACAATAATTCTATACCCTAGTAATTCAATTGAGATATTTTATGATAAAAAGATTGACTAATCATTTCATCAGTTCATATGTGGGGTTGTTGATAAAATAGGTTCACACACTTAATTATATAATTAATTTATGAATTAGTAGTTGTTCTACCATAATTTTAATAAACCTATTCATCACCCTTTAAGTTGTGTCTAATAATTTCACGTGTATAACCGTGAGAGAAAATCCACTTTAAATTTTCCCTTCCCCCAATTGTCATTGAGCCTCCCTGCTTGTCCTATGATTCATGGATGTGTCCAATTATGATATTAAACAATAAGTTTTTGGTACTAAATCATTTATACAACCAATGAATACACAATAATCAAACTAAAATCAATGGTTATAAATCACTTTTAGTACATTGCCCAATTTTTATTTTTATTTTTGTCAGTTAACCGTAGGGATACCTCACGGCCATAAGGTATTGATGTAACATTCTTTAATTTCCAATGACACAAATCCTTCACTTCCGATGCATATGAATTAGATATTGATAGGATATCATACTCATTGTCGTAATTGAGTTATTATTTTTGCTGGTCCCCTAGATTGAATTAGATATTGATGGGTATAAAATCATGAAAATAATCATTAAATTCTTCTTTAATTATCATTAAGATATCACGTCATATCAATTTTCAAATAGACTATTAAGTGATATTTTTCATAAATGGTTACAAATATAATTATGTAATGTTCTGAAATTTTTTTTGAATCTTATAAACTGTAAATAATTTTGCTATTAACTTTAGACACGTCCGAATTTATCATGTGATAGTACCAACGTGACAATACTAACATGATATTACTATTATATTAAATATTTACTACCCCAACCATCGCACCATCACCGCACAATAGTTGATGAAGTTCGCAGGCATTAAAAGAATTTATCCACTCGGTTACAATTTTTCTTACGTTGATCTCTCATTTGTATTGTTTGATTAACAATGTCTCAAGTTCCAAAGAGTGTTAGATTTTGGATGAAAATGATTTAATCAAATCATCTCCGAGGTAGGTTAATCGATTTTATATTGTTTAAAAGGCATATCTCTCCAAAGTAGGTTAATCGATTTTATATTGTCCAAAGGACAAATGATATGTGAGTATTTTTCGTTTGAAATATAACAAATATTTGACTTTAAAGCAATATAAAATTTATTTAAATAATTGAATTGTAATGTAGCAAACGATAATCGGGCCATAGTTTAACACGACAAAATATAATATTCCCCACAAATTTGAGTACACGCAAAACAAATGAATTTTGAGTAATATATGCAAAATATATATATTTTTTTAAAAGGTAAAGCAACTTTTTCAATGTCGTGCACAAGGAATAATACTTTTAAATAAGTTGTGGCTCTCTCCACCTTTTCGTGCGGCAAATCACCACAATTAAATCTATTTTCTTTTTTTTTCTATCATATCTTTTTTTCTTTCTAAGCAAACCACCCTAATAAAAAGTTACTGGGAGTCTGGGAATAGAAAATCGAGTAATATTTTGGATTGATCATTCCTTTTGAACTTGTAAATTACTCCTCAAAAAATTTCAAGTTGACAATAGAAAGTTATAATTTTCCGTATAGTACCCAAAGTGATACTCTAGTCTTCCTCGTATTTTACATATATTTCGTGTTCTTCTTGACTAATGAAAATTGTTTATTCCTCAAAAAAACCAAAAACGTGCATGTTCTTGTGATTTGAGCTTGAAGTTTTGAAAAATGTTGCCTACCTAAGATCTTTTGGTAATTAAGATTAATGTACACAAAACTAGCTAGTATTAGATTATTTTTGTTCTCTCAATGTTAGATCTCCTGGTTTTTATTAGTGAATAATCTATTTGAATATAGTGGGCTCCATTTGAATTCATGATAATTGATCAAACCATAGTTGATAAAATCACATATTATATTGGATTTTGAATCTTGATTGCATGATAAGCAACATTATTTTTAGTGAAAGCCCAACCGGCAATGCTTAATTTAATTAGTCACCCTTCATCTTTTTCAAATAAGAGTATTAAGGGGTCAACCTTTGTTTATAAAGACAAGAGTAATGCTATTTAAACTTTAAAATCTGGCCTAATTTATTGACCTAGTGATGTGGTTTTAGTGGAATTATTAGATCATCACCAAGTTCTAATGATTGAACAAAAGCTAGGGGAGCGAATGACATTGGATACCCCAATAGTCCTAGTCATAAAAAATGGATACTAGGCGAGGTGTGTATTGACATATGTAGTGCTATAGCTAGTATGTTAAGTATCCCGCTTGGGGAGTACGTTCGCAAGAATGAAACTCAAAAGAATTTGACGAAGGCCTACACAAGCAGTGGAGCATGTAGTTTAATTCAATGCAAAACGAAGAACTTTATCAGGACTTGACATGCCATACCCACAATCAATCTAAAAACTATAACAAATTAAGTCTCAATTGTATTGCTCTCACTAATTTTTATGGCCCTTTCTAAGGGCAATGTGTTTTGGTGATTGTTCTTATGCTTATAATGCTGATTGATTGGATAATAGTACCCATATGTCGTTCCTTATAAAAAATATTTTAACTAAAAATTTTGGTTTAATACAATCAATTGTAATTGAATATATGGTAGGTGATCTCGTATTTAGCAATACGAGGGAGAGAGAGGATCTAGTACTTATTTCTGGTCATAGGGAGTATGGTATCGCGGGATCCTAGTGGCTTGATCTTTCATGGCAATATGTTTATTATATACATTAGTAAGTTGATATGTGTATACAATTTTACCATGAAAATGGCAATTAGAGACAAAAGAAAGTCATGGCACCAAACCAAATAAAGGAAATTAAACAAATATTTTGACAGCTAGAGAAGTTTTAATCGCTCTCAGATATCTACTCTTTTTCTCTCTCTTCCCCCAACGCTTTCTACTTTCTACTTTTTACCCTTTTCTCACCTCCTTTTTCCCTTCAACCAAACACAACATTGATACTATAATAACAGTATAACACTACCTAGTTGCATATGATTTTGATATTTTTCCATCCGAAAAATGAAAGCTAATTAAATACAAAATATTGTATCCTAGCATAAGACATTTTGCAATACCAAAAATTGAGTATTGATTATGCAACATTTATTTTTCATTTTATTTTCTTTAGTTATGCAATTTAAAATTAAAGTAGATAAAGAGAAAATAAGAGAGAAGTAAGGAAGAGTTAAGAGGGAAGAGAGATGTAGGTGTGAATTCGTATGGGTTATCTGGCATTAGAAATTGTGTTGATTGGGTTGTTCGACATCAGGGGTTGCGTAGAGAATAGCATGGACAAAGCAAACGTTTGGATTCAATAAATTTGACTTTTATTTTGGGAACGCTTTCAGTATTCAAATTACAAATTACCGGTAAGCAATCATTGTATGACATAATTTTTTGATTAAACTTATTCAATATGTTTTTGTCTCATTCGATTAAATTTGAAATGAGTTTAATATATCAGATGACACTGTTATATGGTGTGCACGCTCAATAAAAAATACCACACAACCAGTTTAGCACAAACGAGAGAGCAATATGTAAAAAAAATTGTAACCGAGTGGATAAAATGAGATTGATATGATTTGCCCATGCTTAAACATAAATTTAGTCACCATTTTCCATATAGCTTTATATTTGGGAGAAAAAATTGGCTTTGATCATTTTAGTTAAGAAAAAAAAAATTCGTTGCGATTGATCTAAAACCCCAAAGCAAATTATAGATTTCTTAGTCCGACAATACATGAGATTATTATCTACTAAGATTTAAAACCTTGAATTAAATATTTTTTAACAAGTCTACATGAAATTGTGTTGAGCGGAAATCTAAAAAATCGATCCATGAAAATAAAGGTTTAAATATGTGTCAAGTCATCCATTGCAGTGGCTGGGGCAAATGGCAATGGTGTGACGTTTTAACAAACATAACATCCAGAAAAAGGACCCCAAAAAAAGCTTTAAATTCTTTTGGTGCCTGCAAACTCCATCAATCATTATGCAGTGATGGTGCATTAGCTGGGGGAGTAAATATTCGAGGTAATGCAGAATCATTATGCAGTATTATTATTCAATAATAAAATAATTATTATTGATAATTATTTGGCCCATTAGGAACTGATTTTTTTTTTTTCGAAAGTAAAATTGTTGTTCTTGATTTACTAGTCTTTTGATTTTTTTATAGTTTGGTTTTTTTTATTATCGTAGATTATGGATAGACAATGTGTAATAATAATGTGCTATGAAAATGGAAAAATGACAACGGGAAAGTATGGTAAATGGTATCAAATTTATATGACTTGTGGGTGTCAAAATATGACACAAACACGTTAACAAGATACGAACACAATACAAAATTATAGGGTTTGGACCTTACTTAAGTCACTCATTTAGTAAATGAATAGACTTGACACGATACGATTAATAAACAAATTAGGTATAGGTGAAGACAATCATAAGAAATATACGATATATAACCCATTAACTTAATTAATCACAATTATTGAATAAATAATAAATCTCAATAAATACTAATATGCGTGTAGTTAAATCAATTTGTGAGAATTATTTTGATAAGTGTGTTTTAATTATTTAAGTAACCTGTACGTGGACAAGTCAAATCAAGAAAGTGTGAGCACGTATAATTAATGTTTATGAGAGTTACGATTGAAAATTAATAAGCACGTTTATTATGTCTACATTTGAAGAAGTTGAAATGGAGAGTTATAGATTGATTTTTGGATGGAACATTTTTTAATTTTTTTGTTTAACAGTTAAAAATGTTTAAATTAATTTACGGGCAAATCCGTTAAACACTCTATAAAAGAAGAGAATATCATAAATGTTTGACCATGGGGATCCCAGCACCAACTGGTACAGGCATATGTCAGGTAAACTAGAAAACTCGGTGATGCAATATCTAGTGTTTAAAACCCTTCAACATAGGAGGGTATTGTAAGCCTTGGAACAAGAGAGTCCTATTGTATCTGAAACTTTCATTTTGCTTCAATCTCTTCCCTTGCTTCACAATGCAGCCTGCAAGTGCAACCAAGTTCAGTTCAATGCCACACAAACTGAGATTTCCTTTTGATAAATTTCTTGTGGGTAGTCTCTGCAAAACACTCTTAATTTCAGGGCTATTTCTGTATTTAATCTCCTTATTTCTTTCCAACAATCCCGACTGCCCTGCTTCTGAATTCTTCTCTCCCTTGAGACTCACATGGCCTCTTCCAAAATCAGAAATTACAGACTCCACCACAAATCTAAACCACCTTATGTTTGGACTTGTTGGTTCTGTCGATGCGTGGAAACACAGAAAAGCCTACATAGAATCATGGTGGCGGCCCAACGCCACAAGGGGTTACCTGTATTTAGACACAGCTCCCACAGAGGACCTTCTCCCATGGCCGCCTTCTTCACCCCCTTTTCGGGTCTCGGATGATAACACAGAATTACTAGAAAAGACCAAACATGTAGCTCCAATTATGGTTCGGATGGTGCATGCCATTTTGGAGGTTCTCAGAGAAGAGCATGAAGGTATGAGATGGTTGGTAATGGGGGATGATGACTCAATTTTCTTTGTTGATAACATGGTGGATGTTCTAGCCAAGTATGATCATACTAAGTACATATATATTGGTGGACATTCGGAGACTATAATGTCGAATGTGTATTTCGGGTTCAATACGGGTTTTGGAGGAGCTGGATTTGCCCTGAGTCACCCTTTAGCAGTAGCCTTGGCCAAAAACGTAGAAGATTGCTTCATGAGGTATCCATACTTGAGGTCTGCAGATCAAATTACCATGACATGTATAGCAGATATTGGAGTTACTCTCACTGCAAACAAGGGTATTCATCAGGTAATTAATTCTATATTTGTACCTCCGAGATTATTTCCAAAGCTGTAGGCCAGACAAAAATCATGGTAAGTCTTTCTCCGAGAATTTAACCTTGGGAAGTCACTTTTATTAGTAGACATGATGTTTTTCACATGTGTTTTAAACTTTTATTAGTTTCTTGGGTTATGGTAGATTACTATAAATACAAAGTAGGTGTGCGGATGGAGTATATGTTCATCACTTGTGTTCTGAAAAAGAAATACTTACAGAAAATTTTCATATTCCTATCTGTCACTGCAGATTGATCTACACAATGATATATCAGGTTTTCTCTCAGCCCACCCACAATCCCCTCTCCTCTCTCTCCACCACTTTGGCAAGGTGTTCCCCATCTTCCCCTCCAAGAACCGTTTCGAATCGGTAAACCACCTCATGAAAGCGGCAAAACATGACCAGTCTCGTTTACTACAACAAACCGTATGCTACCACAAACCAACCAATTGGTCTCTCTCCATTTCCTGGGGATACTCTTCATACATTTATGAGAATATTATCCCCAAAAGCATTCTCAAGAACCCCTCGAAACGTTTCGGCCATGGGGGAGGAATTTAAGGCGACCATTTTATTTGTTTGATACAAGGAGGCTTTCAAAAGATCCATGTGAAGCTCCACACAGTTTTTTCTTTGAATCTATAGAGAAAGCCAAAGGAGGAATTGTTACTATGTATGTTAGAGCTTCACCTCGTGGATTACCAGTTTGTTCTTCAAGTGGCAATCACTCTGCTGATTACATATCCAAAGTTCAGGTGTTTTCATCACCGACCAAGCTCATTGAGGTAAGTTCGTTATAAATTTTTTATTTCCAAATTAGTACGGTGTTAAAAAGTTGCAATAAAATAAAGACTCAGATTGTTTAACATTGATTTTAGTGTTTGAAATCGATCCCAATTAATTTTTTATTGTACTCCACCCAAAGTAATATTTAATACCTATTTTCGTCTTCCTTACGTACGGTACCTCCTTCAATACCATATCTTTCACAGTTAAAGAAAAAAAAAAGTAGAGTTGATCTATTGTTAGGGATGACAGTGTGGACTAGAGAAAAACGGGTATTCGTTTAAACTCATTTCGTTTGGACTGAAGATAGACTATATGTATTAAACGGTGGACATATACGAAAATACCCGTATAAACCCGTACGGAGATGAAAGTGGGGATGGACCACCCTTTACCCCCGCCCCTGGCCCCAATTACCCGTTATATATATATATAAATACATATATTGTAAAATTAGTTGGCAAGAAATCATCCCATATTGTAGGACTAACACTCCTACAGTGCATCTTGGCTAAAAAATAGGTGATAAAGAGGATAATGTAAAATCAGTTGATAAGAAGTCATCCCATATGGTGGTTCCAACTTCCAAGTTGCACTTTAATTGAAAAAAAGACTATAAAGAGATTACTTTGTAGTTTATTAAATATCCTGTCATAGTAATGGTGATAATTGATATGAAATAATTAGACGGATAAAGTCCTTTAATTGCTGACTTGAATAAAATTGTTTGTTATGCAATTGATGAGCTGACAAAGAATTTTCATATGAATTAGATTCTAATTAGGAGAAGGCTGTAATATAAACAGTTGGTGGCTGTAATGGCCCTTTAATAAATTATATCATGCTTTAATAAACATTGAAGTAGCAACATAGTTTTAGCCCAATGGCCAGAACTAGGTCAATGGAGATTAGTCCAATTTGTTACATAATTAGTCCAATTTGATAGCTAAATGGAGTTAGACTTGGGCTTGGGCTTGGGCTTAGGCCTAGCCGGGTACAAGGGAAGTGGGGACAGGGACGGGAATTAGAAATTTATCCGTGGACGAGAATGGGGATGAAAATTGTACCTGCTAACAAGGTAGACCGGGGATGGACGGAGTTTTTTTAAGCGGGTACAAAGATGAAGACTACACCCCCCCACCCCCGCTTCGGTCTATTGATATCTCTATCTATTGTCCGTTTAAAATGAAATATGAATAATAGTTCTGCTTTTTTTTTTTTTTGACCTTTTCGTTTCTTCAACCCATATTGTTAATGGCGTCAGAATATATACTTCAATACCAAAGTCAAATCCATCAAATATAATCTTATATTTGTTGGAATTACTCCACTACTATTTCAGTTGAAAAACTTATTCTGATATCACTCTATTGAAGTCTTCACATATTTACTGAACTCAACTCTACTATACTTACCTTAAACATTAGACCATATGTTATTTATATTGATATAATACATACCTCATAACTTTGAATTAACATGCGACTACTTTCACAAACTCTTATATATAACTCCTAAAATATTAAGACTCATCTACCCACTTTTTTTTTCGTTTTTTATCCCTATTGACCTAACTTCTTCTTTTTTTGGGAGAGGTGAAGGGGAAGGGGGAGGGGGACTTGAACCCTTGATCTTGAGAAGGCAAAGTCTTTACAAGATAAGGAATACCATTGGACCAAAAGCCTATTGGAATTTACCCACTAATTGGAGAATTAACTCACCTTTAAAACAATTCAATCCCTCACTACATGCAATATTAATATTCCATTAGCCTACTAAGGTAGTGCTTGATAAAACTAAAAATTAAGTACTAAAAATTGAATGTTGAATTTTAAGTGTTGATTACTGAATTTTTTAATGTACAACATATTTCTTATCCACTGAAATTTAAATATTGAATTGAATCAGATTGTTTAACAAATATAAGGAGCTGAAGTCTGAAAACTATTATTATTCTAATTTTGTCATCTTTTACCATTCATGGCAACTCACTTATTTTTACCACCCTTATCACTACCATGTCAACCATAATTACCCTACACACATTATTATCACCACTACCACCACCCCACCAGAACCATCTCAACACCATCACCACCACCCCCGATGTTGTCGTTGTCTCCTCTACCACCATCGACCTCATCATCTATTGTCACCTTACTACCGCCACCACTTTCAATCCATCATCACCATCACTAACACCACAAATACCCCTAGTGATGGGTGACGGCAATAGGGGTGGCGACGGTGAGGATGGTTGGTGGTGGTGGATATAGTATAGTAACGATGGTGGTTGTGGGGGGCAAAGGTAGGTGGTGGTGGTAAGATGATAATAGTAGGATGACAGTGGTAGTAGTTGTGACAATAATAGCGATGGTGGTGGCAATAATGACAACAATGGTGGTAATGGTGATGGTGGTAACAACAATGGCAATGTGAATGGTGAGGGCAATGAGGATGGTTGTAGCGATAGAGTGACAGAAATAATAGTAGTGGTGATAGTAGTGATTACCTTGAACATGGTTCTCAAAAATTTTGATAAGATGGTCTTCAATTTCATGCTTACTTGGAAAAACTTCTTTTGTGGTCACTTAATAAAATCCCACTTCAACATTCTTAACTACGTAAGGATACTTGATGTGTTCTTCATTCTTTACAAATTCTTTAACTTGTTACACCTTTGTTTCAACTTTTTCCTGAATTTCTTTTTCATCTATTTTTTGAAATGCTTGAACTTCACTATTTTCTTTATCCTTCCTAGTCTCTTGAAAAAATATGATTTGGAGATCGAGTCTCCAATATGCTTCCAAATCTCAAGATCTATTGTCTTCTTGACAACTCCGACTGCCTTTTTCTCTTTCTTCTCTCAAATTCTTTTAGGCAAGTCATCCTTGGCTTGTCTTCAATCACATCCCACAAATCACATGCTTTGAGATAAGAATGAAAAATAATATTCGTTCTCTTGTAGTTAGAGATCACATTTTCACACCAAAAACACATGTTTGGTGAATCTTCCATGATCATTATAAGACTTTGAGGATGGTACTGGCTCTAATAAAGTTGGCTCCGAGACTGAACTATCTTGACTTGTAGGATCATAAAAAGTTGGCTCTAATACTAGGTTATTAGAATTACTCTGATGTTACTTTTGTTGAAAAAATCGCTCTTATACCAATTTGTTAGAGTCAGGAGAATTAGAAAGAAAATGGAAGGAAGTAGAGGAAGATATGAACACTCTAAGAAAACATAATTTCATTTAAGTCGATTATAATCATAACTTTGACTCTTCAGATACTCAACTCAACCCCACTTTCCTCAAACATTAGGTCATATGTCCTATTTATATTGATGCAATACATAACTCATAACTTTGCATTAACAAGCCACTATCTTCACCAATTGTAACTCCAAATATATTAAGACTCACTTACCCACTACTTGGAGAGTTAACTCACCATTACCACAATTCACTTACTCACTACATGCAATATTAATATTCCATTAGCTCACTAACACACCTTAATAAGACAACTTAATAACATTATAAAACTCTAAAACAAGTTTATTTTCCAACAATATTTACCAAACTTATTTAATTTATAATGTAATCTTATATTTATCAAATATTCTTCACCAAGATGCACCAGCATTTGGCGATGCATGTTTGAAGGAATTATTTTAAGGTAAATATGATTTCATCTAAGAAGTAAAAGCAAGTTTAACTTTTTCTTCTTCTTTTTTTTTTTTTTTGTGAAAAGTGATCGGTATGTATTTTAGTATATAAATAATATATTTGTATTCTATAAGTTGAACTACGCATGCGATTAAGTTTGGAGGAATGGAACAAACTTGAACAAAGAAAAAGGAAAATTACACTATAAACACTACTTAAAAAAGCACTTAAAAGACAAAAAATAAAATAAAGTACATAAAAATTGTTATGGAATGGTATTGAAGTTTTTGCAAATCTAATTTTTTTTTTTCTCTCTCTCTCTCTCAGACTGGAAGAAGCGAATGTTGTGACGTGTTAGTTATGGATGGCAAGGGCCTGGCATCAGTCAAATTTAGGGCTTGCGAGAAGGATGAGATAATTGCTTAGTTGTAATGTAATAGTTAATGTAGTTATTATGTTATGTTGTTTTTAAATGTGCTCCAAAAATTTGATTGTATAAAACATAATGAGGCGTTCCAATCAGAAGAATATCAAGAATATTCATTTTCAAAGGTTCTCTTATTGAATCGATGAAACTTTCATTATTATAAAGTGCTATGGTGTTAGGTGTTTATCAGAATTGGACTGGACATCAAATTGACAGAGGAACAAATTCAATGGTTCATTGGTTAAACCATTGGATCAACTAGTTGAACCAATCGTATAATAAAAAATATATGAAAATTAATAATTTAGCTAAAAAAAAATATGAAACATGTCACAATGAATATAATTGTCATAAAATTAATGAAGTTAAGTAGAGAAAAAAAAATATACCTTTGAACTACAGTATAAGAGCTTTGAACTTTCAGTTCACCTAATTGATGAACCCAATAATGGCACTATATGCACGTTGTAATTTAGGAATAAAATATATAATGGTTTTCTTTTTGATCATATATTGACAAAAGTTTTGTAAAGTAAACAAATTTTTTACTTGTTTTTGCTATTTTTATACTTGGCGAATTTTTAGTCTATGAAAAACTATGATAGGTTATTTTGGTTGAGAAATTCTCGACTCTGAACCGAACGCGATACAATAATGAATAAATTGAATTAGTCTAAAGGCAATTAATACTCTCAATTGAGAATTTGTCATATATGAAATGTAATTAGTACTCAATATGGATCTAAAATAATAACAAAAGGTTTGTGGAAACAAGATTGACGCAAATGAATGATATTATTTAGACCTAAAATTTGACCTAATGATGTAACAATGGCATAGTCCAATAACATTATTGTAATTTTAACATTTAGACTTATTCATTAAAACTCTATCACTTAATACATCTTTATATTGTAATGTTCGGTCGATTCGTCAAAAGCAGGTACCATGTATGTATGTATAACAATGACAGTTAGGAGTGTGAGTAAATCTTAGCCCTTAAATTGCACCTGAGACACGTCGGGAATGGAGGATCTTCCATTTCCAATAGTAATGGAGAGGAGACAAGGCAAAGCTCCACACAGGCGCAGTGATGCCAACGAAATGGAGTGAGGAAGCACAAACCACAAGCCACAAGCCATAAGAACCTCCCTTGGGATTCAATAAAGGAACACAAATTTGAGACATCTTAAATTTATTCTTATAGTTACATAACAAAGTTGTGCACTCAGATATCGAATATCGAATATAGGAACCAAAAACAGAATATTGAAAAAAAAATTATAACTAAGAACTGTGATCTGTTGTCTACTTGATATTTCCTGTCTACAATCATATATGTTTATGATGATAAAGTGTCTTCCACGTTTCCAATCACTTCTTCATCCTCCTCTTGTTGTTCAGAGACTGCTTCTCCATCCATGTTATAAGGGGGAACCACCTTGTCTGAGCTTGTTTCGCTACCCTCTGTAAAATTCTCGATAGGCTCGGTGGCATTAACCACTGTTTGCTGCTTCTCCATCATTCCTGACAAAGCCAATCTTGGAGACCATTCTAGAACATCATCAATAATGTTAGAAACCCGCTTCTGATATCTGCAAGAACAGAGTCGATAATTGAGCCCCCCATGCATAATAAATATTATACGCAGGTGGTCCTAGGGGAAAATCTTTAGCCTATTTTACATGCATTTAGTAACATGAATGGCAAATTCAAGAGGTAATTATTTGCTTCATCACGACCCTAACATTATATGGACACTTCGCAACACAACCCTCATCCCAACTGAGACACATTCAATTGAGGAAATTCTTAAGGAAACAATGGTTACTACCAGAGTGAATGGTTTGTCAAGTAATAGAAAGAGAGAGAAAGAAGACGGACAAAGGGAGAATGCCCACCACCACATTAAAATATTTCTTAATCTTAATAGATTTCCAACCCTAGTCAATACTTTTGACTTTTAAAGTGGAGAAATATCCTAGAAGTTTCTCACACAATACATTTATAAGGAGACAGCTACTTTTTGGATAAGAAACAAAACAGTTTTATCGATTTTACTAAAGAGAGTGGGACAAGTCGTCCAACCCCAAATACTTCCAAGGTCTAAATCTCAAACTAACAAGATTGACGCATACTACAAAGCACTCTATAAAAAAAAGATCAAAATTTAGAACCTAACTTGTGCTCCACCATAATTAAAAGGCTTTGGCTCTTGTGCAAATAGAACGCATAAGAAGCCAGATTTATTTCCCTTTTTCTTAGAATCCAGTTTAACAGAAAAGATATAGAACAGACCTGGCTCTAGCAGCCTCATCAGGTGCATGGTGCCTCAAAATTAATATGACCAGCACAGCCACTATTGCATAGAAAAGCCTTGCTGTCCACTTTGGTCGCTCCTCCTCATCTTTCTGGGGCCAAAAACGGAACAACTCCTGGAGTGTCGCTTCCTCTGCAAGTATGTTAGGGAAAAACCAAACACGTTTTCCAATAATGATCCATATAGCACCAAAGATCAAGGCTCTTACTGCAAGAAAAAGAATACCCTCAATACACCCCCAAAAGAATTTGAAGCAACACCTATACATCATATTTATCACAATCAGGAAACAAAAACTAAGCAGCAAGAGGATAGATGAGCATAACACTCAAAAGTAGTGAAACATACTTGCCTGATTGTAGTTATATATGTGAATCCTATATTACCAGTAAATGCAACTTTGTTTGTACAGGTGAATCAAAGGACTATTAAGTTTACCAATTCTGCAAAGAAAGTTCTTTTAAACACTTTTACCAATTCTGCAAAGAAAGTTCTTTTAAACACTCTGGAAAAGAGGAAGTGTTCCTAGGACTTGGAGATTGTTGATGGGTACATAGAGATCACTTTGCCAAAAGTCACAATCTGCCCATCATTGATGACACCAATTAGTACTACATGTCAGACTCATGACTTCTGAATTGTTTCAAGTAATACAAAATATATTTTTAAGTCCGAGAACTTTACAGTGGCTTATGCCGTATGATGGCTGCAATGGTTACGGATGAAGAGACCTAGAAGAAAAGAAATTCTATCAAAACTAGAAATAAACACTAAAGTAAATACACAGAAAAGGTCATCTCGATTGAAAGCTAGAAATACCTTGAGAGCTTTCACATGGATATCAACTGCTGTTCACCAAAAGATGACCATCCCATTGTAAATTTGGACATGGCCCAACCAATACCAAAACGATAGTATTGATTCCATGGCTACTCTCTAAATTGGATAAAGTAGAAACAAGAAGGAAAAAAATTAAGTTACACTCTTACCCCCAAACAACTTAGGTTCAAGGTCGGATTGACCTCCTCTAGTTTCAATTGCAAGACCTACACCCTATAAGGACTTAGTTAACTGAGGGCACAAATGAAAATCTTATGTTGTCTATTTTTACATTATGAAAACCTAAACTCAGTCATAATAAAAACCATTTATTGAAAAAAAAATTAAAGAAAAGAAGAGAAAGAGTTAAAACAATAGTCATGACTAAGGTTGTCAAAAAGCTTATTGCAACGTGTATCATATTTCAAAAATAATGTATCTTGTGTCGTAAGATACATGTTAAATTTTAAAAAGGGTAAATTAGATTTGAACCCTAGAATTGTCAATCACATAGGCCCCCTCACATTTGGAATATTACTCTCACACCTTTAAAGTTTATAATTGTGAAACACACAAACTCCTCTTGTCACTATCTGTTTATAGTCTAACCGTTTGAATTTAATGATATCATAATATACAAACATAATCCCCAAACTACCCTTTTTCGTCTTGAGCCCGAACATATTCCCCAAAACTACACCTGCATATCACCACCAGGCCCACCACACACTGTTGCCCTGCTGCAGCCACTTCTACCTTGCCGCAATGCACACAAATTCTAAAAGCACAAAATCACAGCCACATCATCACACCTGCACTGCTGCTGCTACCACACCTTACTGTCTTGCCATTGACAAGCCTCAAAATACACACTTGTGGAAGCACAAGACCACAATCACCACTAATGCCCAGTCACAGGCCCAAGCTCGTTCAAAAAAACACCCAACTGCCACCACCACCCACTGCAAATCCACCATGCCAACACCAGCCGCACTGCCACAACCACAGCATGAACCCCAAAAATTTCAACCCATTTCCATAACCACCAGCTGCAAACCCACTTTGCCCAACACCAACTGCACTGCCATAACCACCACCACCACCCATAATCACCCACTGCCAACTCAACGTACCCAACACCAACTGCAAGGCCTCAACCACCACCGATCCCTGAAAATAGCAACCCATTGTCACCACCACCCACTACAAAACCCAAAGTGTCTAATGTTAGAGCATCCAACCCAAAATCAATTGGCGATCAATGGAGTGGTCTCTCGAGTGTATAAACCAACCGTAGTGGTCCTATTATTCAATGTGCGATACAAGCTCTCTTAATACGCTCCCTCAAGTGGGACCTGGGCTCGCACGCATGGTCAACAAAAGAATAACCCAACAAACAACCATGCATTGCGAAAAATTTAAATAGATAAGAGACTTGGCTCACTGACCACTACAAGCACATCTCATATCATGTTATAGCATCAAACCCAAAACCAATTGATAATGAGTGAAGCGGGCCCTCAAGTATATAAATCAAACTTGTCCTAGTTACTCAACATTGGATACAAGCTCTCTTAACACCAAACACCAGAGAGAGGGAGAGAGATCAACTGTAATGACTACCACCACCATCCCACAAAATCGGGACCCATTGTCACCACTATTCATAACCACCAATTTCAAAACCACGATGCCCAACACCCCTTACCCATCCAGCTAAATCTACCACACCTAAAAGCCTCCTCCATGAATCAATTTGCAGATCTTTAGGGCTTTTTAGAACCTTAAATTTTTACAAGTTTAGGACACTATTGATAGCCTGCGATTCTATCTCCTATCGAGGTTCTCTCTCAATTGGGTTCTTGTGGTGGGGTAGTCGGCAAAGGCGCCTGCACTAGAGTAAAACTGAGAATGGGACCTAGGGGCAAAATGGCAATTGATCTGAGAATCGTGTGGAGAAAGGCAGGATGGAGATTATATTTGGGGAAGATATTTCATGGGTTTCGATTTAATTCCAGGTATGGTTTAAGGTCGGTATCGGTTATCGACTCAGAGGATACTAATACACATCAGTTGTCACATCACAAGATGGTATTGGCCAATATGCAAAAAAATGTTAGATAGAATATCCAAAAACATTATAAAAAAATCATGAAAAATTATAAAAAAAAATAATGAAAAATTCTAAAAAATGTATATAACAGTATCCATACATCATATGCCCAAAATACATCATCAAGCAAATTAAACATAATGAAAGTGAAATACAAGAGTGTTACCGCAAATATTTATCATCATCATCATTCCACATCTAAATATAGATTAATTAATATATGCCAGATTTTTATTTGTCCAATTGTATAAAAGAAGAAAACTTAATAAAATACATCAATTTAATATTTTAAGTTTTAAATACATGCATATTATAGTATATGTTTAGCCCTAAAATATATACATCATTTAGTTTTAAATAGATACATCATTTATTTTTAGCCTTAAAATAAATTTCACCTATTACATACCCATTAATGTTTAATAAAACTTATCCCAAAAAATACATAAATGAGACATTTAAGAAATTAGCAAAAAAAATAAAGAAACCCACTTTTTAAAGATAGACAAACATAGCCTTTGGCTTTGTTAAGCCTACTCAATGTCTATTGTCTGAGAGTGAGAGTGAGAGTGAGAGTGAGAGAGAGAGAGAGAGAGAAAGAGAGAGAGAAACGACTATCTGAGAGGCTCGAAGCAACTATCTTTGTAGCCAAGGAGCGATGATGATGGACTACTACGCGACGCTAATGACAGATTCATGGCATATAGGTTTTAATCTCACAAAAAAACAGAGGAAGAAGTGGAAGAGAAGGAAACTCAATAATCTTTCAATTCCTTCTTCTGTTTTTGTCCCAAACATTTGTGGAATTTAGTGTTTTTATTTCTGAAAATTTGCATAATTTGATAATGCGTTAGGTGAATCTTCAAGATTACAGACATGGGTCTCTTCATTCTCTTCTCTCTGCCTTTTTTTTTTTTTTTTTGTTTTCTGAGATCATACTAAAAGATTCTAACCATATCGGTTTGTCTCAACTCAAACTCCGAGTTGGACCAATACTACTGAATCAACTGGGATTCGATTGCATCTCACTATATTCTTGTACCGTGCATCGTTATCAAATCGGTAGTGACCAAGGCGGATATGACTTGGCCGATACTTTGAACCTTGATTCCAGGTTTGGGTTTAGGTTTTTTCTAGAATGGATTTCGATGGTTTTTGGGTTTGTGTTTCATGAATTTATTTGATTTTTGTAGAGGGAAAAGGGTCATTTCTAATCTTTCGGTTGCATCCGTCAACAGGTTGTCTAATAAGGGATGTCAATGTATATGTCATAACTGATAGGATTCGTGTGACAAACCTCAAGGGGTCCAAGTGTAATTCACTTTTTGAAAAAATAAATTACCAACTATGCATCCTATAAATAAATTAATATATATCGTCCAAGCTAAAATAAATGACATTTTAACTTGCGTATCATCTCGTGAAATATGTGTCTACGAAAGAGATCGAAAAAAATACAACCCTTCTTCTTTGAGTCAGAGATTAAAATATAGTTAGGATTTTGTCTATTTAAAGAAGAGGAAGAAGAAAAAAAAGAAAAAAAAACTGGAGAAGCAAAAAGAGATCGCAACAACAAAACAAGACAACGATCGCATACTTCATCAAAAGGCAAAACAAACTTATAAACGACGTTAGTAAAAAAAGGCTTGCGAAACAACATTGTTTCATTGTTCAAAGTAAAGAAATGATTTGAATGTATCGTTCATGTTGTACTATGTGATGGTGGTGTGGAAGAAATGAGGGATTGGGCTTTGTTGGGAACCTAAAAATGAACAGGTTTTTATTGCAATTAAATTTGTCCTTTTTGTTTAAAAATACATGAGTAAATAAATCCCATATGGGAATTTTGTGCCCCAAACATGTTGATGTTATTAGATCTGAAAGACCCCTCAAACATACTATACGACCAGAGGTTTGATGACAAATCAAATCTCAAGGGGTGGTAGTATTATTTTTCCTACCCGAGGAGGTCTGTGTGAAATAGTGACAAACCCCAAGGGTTTGGATGTAATTATGATGCTTAAAACTGATTCATATCCTTTCAAAATATAATAATCTAACCCTAAGTAGGAGCGAGTTAGCATTAAACAACAATGGAACCTCCACATGTTAGAGAACCAGAGTCTTAATCCACTCTCATAAGCTTCTTTAAAGAAAATCATCCCATCACCATCAAAAGATTCTAAGAATAACTGCTTTCACTTGGTAGAAAAATGGAAACAATGCATCCGTTGTCCAAGTAACCTATTAAGCAAGGGGGAAAAACCCAAGGAAAGACAAAAAATTATTCAAATCACACCACTCTATCCACTATTAGCTACATGCAACTGATTTTCAACGAACAAGACTAAAATTGTTCAAGCTCCTAGACTACCAACCATCTTGAGCTCTGTATTTGTTCATTGTGTCCAGGGAGTTCAGAAGGCAAGACTTGGAAAGGCTCCAAGAAATTGGAAAACCATCCTAACAAAGCACTTAAGTGCACACAGTCCCAGCTCGCTAGCTGTTACTTCTCAAGTTTTCCCAAGTTCTTTTTCAACTAAATTGAATGGGATGCTATTAACAATAGGGAATGGTCAACTACATTCCTTCTCTATTCCCTCCATCTTCACCTGCTTCCTCATAACTAACAACAAATGGTTGTTTTAGTTTTTTAAACTTCTTTCTGAATAAAAGGTATAGTTTGTCATGTGTCTTCAAAATTTGTGTCACTTAGATTTAGCATATCAGCAATATAAGCGGACTAAACTCTAAAGCCAATTACCTCCAAAGCAATATTTCTAGCCTTCAAATGACCAAACAAGAGCCCAACTTTATCCCTAGATCTTGACACCACCTCCCAACTAATCAAATGATCCTTCCTCCCCTCCCCATCCCCATCCCATCCAATTCCATCCCATTTTCTTTTGGCTTTTCTCTTGATTAGGGGAATGCTTGCACCTTCAATTTAAACCATACTACTCCTTTCTGGGAACCAAAAAACTTCCTTGCAAATGCTAATCCATTTTACCAGACGTTTGTTCTCTTATTCATGGGCTCTGCTAAAAATCTATGAACATCAATCATAATGTGTATTTTTACTTTTTAAGTTGAACTATTCACAAGAAAGGGCATGTCAGAAACTATGGTTCTTTGTTGCCCCAATGAATAACCCATCAAAGCAGGAGCAAGACAAAATAAGATAGATATTTGCCCAAGAAAAGAGAGAGAGAGAGCTACAGCAATAACTCTACCCTAATATATTCATTTGATATTATTGCACCCATTTTTGGCTAGAAAGTTGTGCTCTAGTTAGCAGTCTCATATGCTTCATGAAAAAATCCTCTAAATGACATCAGAATATCTTCTTTCATTTCCAATCTAAATATTTAGATAACTAAAACAAAGTGCCCTAATTATAGTGGTGCACCTTAGAGCATCTCCAACCATGTTATCTAAAATAGCTACTCAAAATATATTTAAATATTGTATTATCTACTTTAGCTAACCACTTTTTCAAATTCACTCCAACCACGCTATCTATTTTAGCTAACCACTTCAACTACCTTTCAATAATAAAATTCAAAAAATAGCAATTCAACTATACATTATATAAATTTAATCAATTACTGGCTACAAGAGTAAATATCATAAAATAAGAGCCCATCTTTTATCAAAAACGGAGAGGGTTCAATGTCAACAATATGCCTGAGAACAGGAACTCAAATCAAGGTACAAAGGTGAACCCTCTTGAAACCCGAGTAACAACTTGGGATGAGGCCGAATGTGCCAAATACATGGCAAGGTGATGCATTAGCCCCTTTTCCTCTGCTTATGCATTTGGGAGATCAGAGTCTCTCCATCTCACAAACCCACTTCAAATTATCAAAAACTCATCTCAAAAATCTCCAAAACCCATTTCCAAAATTAAAAATTCACCGAGAAAAACCTCAAAGAACTGATAAATGATGGTGAAAATTACCTCAATTGAACGTGCTTCAGATGGTGAAAGCCGATTCAGATTCAGGTTAAGTCTTCAGAGCCGATGTGAAGAGAGAACCCAAATAGCTAGCTTTCTTCTCTCGCCAAATCCAGC